AATCCAGAAAATACTTCTGACTGCTGTATATACATACTTGTACACATGTATTTAAATGTGTTTATACATGTGTGCAAATTACGACTGAAAAACTGATGAAAAAGTGTATCTTCTGGCTAATATTTAAATCCTTATTTTCTACCCTAAAATATCTGTTTTTTACGAAACAAAGGAAACAATAGGTCAAATATGAAATGTCATATTTTGTTAAGCTCGAAACTAATTATAAATAGATTTTCGTTCAAATCTGGACATTTTAATTTTTGGCCATAAGGAAATAAGGTCATTATGTACATTATGTAAAAAGAAACTCACCACTAAAATTTTCTACAAAATATTCACACGCATTCGCAAGTACATAACGACCTTATTTACTTATTTCCGCATCACGCGCTGAGAGCACACAAATATAACGGCAAATAAAGCGCAAAAATAAGTAAATAAGGTCATTATGTACTTGCGAAGAATCGCAGGGAAAACAGAATGAAAAAAAAAGAAACTACCGCGATCAAAAGTATTTCACCATTAAAATTATCTAGAAAATATTCACACACATTCGCAAGTACATAACGGCCTTATTTACTTATTTCCGCATCACGCTCTGAGAGCACACAAATATAACGGCAAATAAAGCGCAAAAATAAGTAAATAAGGTCATTATGTAGATCGATAAAAATCTTTCAAAATCAAAAATGCGTTATCGTTTAAATTAAAAGCTAGTGCATACCCAGTGGAATGTCTCTAAGCATCATCCACTATCTCGCTCTATTGCCGCTCTCCATGCACTCGATCAGAAGTTGCTGCGCATTAAGAAGTTAACGGCGCTTTTTTGCCATTCCGCTTTGTCTTCGTCAGTGAACAGATCTAGCGATCTCAGTTGTTCTTCTGCCAAGTGCGCGACCGGTTCATTTTTCTTAGCGGGTAGGAAATCGTTTAAATCAGTACAATAAATTATGAAAAAAGTTAATTTGAGACTAACTCAAGGGTTTTTTGCATTTCTAAAATTTTACGTTGCGCGTTTTGTGATCTTTTTCCGTTTCCCGTGAAATTAAAGATGCACATACAAATATGTATAAGTGTTTAAAACAAAAGAAAAAAGATTGTAACTATTTCCTAGAAGCCCCGAATGTTTTTTCCGCATGCGTTAAAAAATTCAATCGAAAATCGTTTTGTTGCTGGAAAACATTCAGTTCTGGCGCCGTTCCGGCCTATCGCGTCGCGCCGGCTATTTGTATGTGTATATGTATGTACATATGCAAAAAAAGATATAAGCCTTTTAATAATTGGGTAAGTCTTCTTCACATTGTTATGTACTTGCATGTTATGTACTTGCGAATGTGTGTAAATATTTCTAGGAAATTTTACTGGGGAAATACTTTTGATCGCGGTAGTTTCTTTTTTTTCATTCTGTTTTCCCTGCGATTCTTTGCAAGTACATAATGACCTTATTTACTTATTTTTGCGCTTTATTTGCCGTTATATTTGTGTGCTCTCAGAGCGTGATGCGGAAATAAGTAAATAAGGCCGTTATGTACTTGCGAATGTGTGTGAATATTTTCTAGATAATTTTAATGGTGAAATACTTTTGATCGCGGTAGTTTCTTTTTTTTCATTCTGTTTTCCCTGCGATTCTTCGCAAGTACATAATGACCTTATTTACTTATTTTTGCGCTTTATTTGCCGTTATATTTGTGTGCTCTCAGCGCGTGATGCGGAAATAAGTAAATAAGGTCGTTATGTACTTGCGAATGCGTGTGAATATTTTGTAGAAAATTTTAGTGGTGAGTTTCTTTTTACATAATGTACATAATGACCTTATTTCCTTATGGCCAAAAATTAAAATGTCCAGATTTGAACGAAAATCTATTTATAATTAGTTTCGAGCTTAACAAAATATGACATTTCATATTTGACCTATTGTTTCCTTTGTTTCGTAAAAAACAGATATTTTAGGGTAGAAAATAAGGATTTAAATATTAGCCAGAAGATACACTTTTTCATCAGTTTTTCAGTCGTAATTTGCACACATGTATAAACACATTTAAATACATGTGTACAAGTATGTATATACAGCAGTCAGAAGTATTTTCTGGATTTTATTGGAAATCGCACAGTGGGCGGCAATAAATAGTTGGAAAAAAATAAACCACATAAAAGCGATAACAACATTTATTTTAGATTGTAATTTTAACAGCCAGTGAATTTTTTAAAAACTCAGTGTTTAATAATAAAGTTTGTTTGAAAATATTTGTATTTTAAAAACTTATCCTACGCGTCCTGTACGAGTTTTGGGGAGTCGTAGAGAGAGGGATGGAGAATCGCTCGCGAGCAGTGTGTGAGAGAGGGGGTTTTTGGGCGCGTGTACACATGCATAATCGCGTTTAAATATACATTAACTTGTATACACAATTATTTCTCGCATCACACTGAGATTGCCCTGCAAATACGCGTCCCACTGTACGAGTTGTTGGGAGAGGTAGATAAAAATGGCGAATCGATGGTGAGCAGAGAGAGAGGGGATCATCGACAGCGACACCCAGAGCAATTGTGTTTGTGGGCGCGTGTACACATGATTGAAAGACGTCATTCGTTTTGCTCTCAGAGCGCATAAAACGGTAAAGTTTGTTTTATTTTTCTACCGTTTTTGTCCTCCGTCTGTGCTAAATTTCAATGGAAATCGAACAGTGGGCGGGAATGAAAAGGTTGATAAAAATAAATGACAAGGGTTCTACCACTGTAGTAAAGTAAATTTCAATGCAATATCTTTGCAATATTTTTAAAAATGTATGCATATGTTATAGAAGTATATGTATATATATTTTTTAATACGTATATATCCAAATTAAAATGGATATTTTTTAATTGTCTATACATACAACACATTATTACTTTTTTAAAAATTGTATTTCTTAAATTTATTCTACGCGTCCCACTGTACGAATTTATGGGTAAAAGAGATGGAGAATTGCTGAGGAGCAGAAAGAGAGGAAATGCACAGTGCATTCGAGTAAAATGTATGTGCTTAATAATATTATTAATTGAAAAAACGTTATACATCTAAGACTTAGCGTAAGCGTCCCACTGTATGAATTGACGGGAGAAGTAGAGAGAGATAGAGAATCGGTAGCGAATCAAAGCGCACCGCAAATATTGTTGCGGGCGCGTGTGCACATGTATAAACACATTTAAATATACATATGCATACAAGTATTTTTATACAGCAGTGAGTAGTTTTTGCAGGATTTTATTGGAAATCGTACAGTGGGCGGCAATAAATAGCTAGACTAAAATAAAAGACAGACCCTTACGACTGCATTAAAAGCTCTTTTACAAACCGAAAGGTGTTCAATATTTTTCCGTAACATTCATGATATCCCTATAATTTTTTTAACATATAATATTTAGTAAATACGTAATTACGTGTATCTGATTTCAAGCGATTTAAAAGAAATCCCTCTAAAAAGTTATAACTCCGTCTGATTTATTGTTATCGACAGCTTCTTTTTTATTTGTTTTTTTTTTTTAATCTTATTTTATAATACAATTTTTTTTAGGCTCTACCCAAAAAAAAAAATGTTTGTTTGATTTTGTAATATTTATTTTAATTACATTTACAAACAAAATTTGTTTTTTGGAATATTTATTTTAATTTTAATTATTACCTTCAATCGGTTTTTTTAAGTCAGCGCCTAGTTTTTATATCAAATTTTTTATAGCAAGTCCTGTGAAAGTCGTAAATGGAAACAACATTACAAATTAATATTTTTTTAATATTTTTTATTTTGAATTATTAAATGATGTCTTATTGATACATTTCTTGTTTTGCAACAGCGTATAATTTATTATAATTGTTCCGATTGGCCAACCGCGACGTACAAATTTGGACCGCCCTAATGTTCATATGCAAAAAAATGATGTAAGCCTTTTAAAAATTGGGTAAGTCTTCTTCACATTCTTAGAATATGTATTTCATTTATAAATATGTAGAAAAGTTGTTAAAATTCAAAAAGTTTTCGGGTAAATTTTTACGAAAAAAATATTTCAAGTAAAAAAAACGACCATGTTTATAAGTATTTTATCATTAAAATTTCCTGGTAAATATCCACACACATTTGCAAGTACATACACCCAGAAAAATTGAGAACGAAAAAAATCAACATCGACCGATCTTGATTTTAGTATTCGTATTCTCACTTTTTTCTTCTTGATATCAAGATGAAAGCAGTGTTGATTCTAGTATTCCCAGTCAAAGTCAATCTCAGTTTTTATGTTGTGGAAGAGGGACGTGAGGAAAAGACATCGAAAAAATGAGAGGAAAAGGGCCGAATTCCTCTCTTGTAGCTATCGGGCAGTCATGCTTCTTGATATCGGTAGCCTAGGGGACTAAAGCGTGCGGATTATATGTTTTGTAAGCGTATAGTCGGAAGTGTGTGTTCAGTCCCGCGTCGAGTGCGGTCGCGCACTTGGCAGAAGAACAACTGAGATCGCTAGATCTGTTCACTGACGAAGACAAAGCGGAATGGCAAAAAAGCGCCGTTAACTTCTTAATGCGCAGCAACTTCTGATCGAGTGCATGGAGAGCGGCAATAGAGCGAGATAGTGGATGATGCTTAGAGACATTCCACTGGGTATGCACTAGCTTTTAATTTAAACGATAACGCATTTTTGATTTTGAAAGATCGATAAAAATCTTTCAAAATCAAAAATGCGTTATCGTTTGAGCCGTTTCGAAATACCGATAAATACGGACTTAAAAACGTGGTTTCGAGAAAAACGTAATTTTTCTGCTATGTTCTGGAGTAAATTACCTGAAAACGCAACTTGCAAAGCTGATATTTTTTTTAGTCCGATCGATTTGAAATTTTCACAGTGCATTCTGGACACATTTACAGTAAAAAAATTTTTTTCTGTTTTTTATTAAGTGCAAGGATTTACCCCCTTAATATTTGTTAAAATTTCTGAAACATTCAGATATCCCAGATAAAAATAGTCCGCACAGGTTCTTGACTTTTCGGTGCAATTCTCATTTATAAAATCACTCATTATATTGGTTAAATAATTATTAAACAGTTTATATGTTAATCTATGGATGTACACGTTTCTTTAATACTTTATAAAATCAGATATAAATTTAGTCATTGTTGATAAGGCATAATTGTTTCACTTTGTACTTTTTAAAACCTGTTTTCCAATTCATTAGAATTTTAATATTTAGAAAACGAAATTGCTTGATTTATATTAAAACAGAATTTCATATTTACAAAAATAATATTTGAAAACAGGGAAAAGATTTTTTTGTAGTTTTTAAATGGTAATGTAACAAGCAGCACGCACATTTATCAACTTTTAAAGAGTAAGATGTAAAAAATATATAAATTCTTTTAAATACTTGTAAAAGCAAAAAGATTGTAAGAAATGCATTCTTAAAATTATATTGATTAAAAAATTACGTGGTGTACAGATATATATATTTTTAAAAATGCAATTGTTTCTTTTGGATTGATTTTTGCCACAATAATTATGTGTGAAGTCACTGTGTGAAAATACGTAAACATATACATAGGTAATAATAAACAGTTGCGGTCAGGATAATGCACTATAGCTATAATAAAAAGTATTTTTCTGGGAGAGCATCTTCTGATGGTGTCTCTGTTTTTTATACGCATTTCCGTATTACGTTGTTAAACCAATTTTAAAAAATGTTCTTAGTTTGTATATTGTCATGTTCGAGTACTTGAACACCTGCTTGTAGTTATTAAAATTGACTTTCTTCGGGCGCAGTAGTTTTTGTCGATCCTTTTTCGCTTTCTCCGTTCGTCTTTTCGTGAGATATGCTCGTAATAACAGATTTTATTACTACAGAACTAGTACTCGTTTCCGTCGTGTTGCTGCTATTGAGTAATTAGGATAATTAATAGAGTTCTAATGATTCTTGTAAAAACTCACCTCTTCGATGCCAAGTCTCCTAAGTTGGAAATATTAATATCCGGAATATCGTTCACGTTCACGGTGGTAGTAGCTTTGTTTGTTTGTGTGCTAAGCACTGATAGGCGACCTACATTTATGTAGAAATGTTTATTAGTTATATTAAAAGTGTTAGAAGAGTCATGTTAATCTTTAAATATAAGGTGGGCCGGGCTTATAAGCTAGCAAAAAACTGCAATTATTGTCGGTTCGTGCGCATATCTAAAATCAAAAATTAAATTAATTAAATTGAGTTGATTTAATAACTGAATTGATAGCCAACATTGCACAACGAAACATATATACAAAACAAAACAAGACAATCAAGCAAATGGGGTTAATCCTTTGAAGCACCGTTACTCACCAACAGTCTCCTCTGTAGTCGTGGAACACAACGTGGTTGTCGTAAGATTTAAATGATCACGCACCGAGTCAACAGTTATATCACCAATGGAGCTGGTGATAGTCTCGTTGGCTTGATTTGGTGAACTTGTATTGCATATTCCATTGGTTAGATGAAGACTACTTCTATCAAGATTTCCTTCTACAGGTTTAGCGCGAATAGTAGCGACTGGTGGATCTTTAACGTCTAGTGTGTTGACAACTTCAGAATTTGTACATGTTTCTTTATCGCTTTCATCATCCTTTTCAACCAGTTCCGACTCTTCAGTTTCCAAAGGTTCTACTTCAACAATGCCTGTGGGTTGCACCACTGTGGACGTGGCTAATGCAATGCGTTGCAATTCGGAGGAAGACATCATGTACAGGGCTTCCCCAGAGTTGGTAAAACAAAGCGACGAAATTCCACTGCAAAATAACGAATTGGCATTAGGAAAAATGTATTTTTTTACTGATAGCAGGATTTGCGGCTTACTTAATGTCTTCCCGCCGCACAGCAGCGGCATTCAGCTGTCTTTTCAATTCAGGGACTGATAAAACCATAATGTCGCCCATATTAGTTAGACAGATCAGAGCAGTTTCGTGATACACATCTCCACGACCAGCAGTCGTACTGATATTTGCAGACCCTTCTCCATCGCCATGCGAGCGTGTGGATTTGGTTGGGCTACTACCCTGCATATTTTGCAGTAACTCCGGGGATATGCGACAACTAAACGAGCCAAAGTGTGTGCGACGAATCCGAGCACCCTCGTTAGCGGTAAGCTTATATTTGTTTATTGGCTTTAATTGTGGAAGTGAAAACACTTTAAACTGTTCCTCGGAAGCGATAAGTAGACGATGCGGTGGGCTACCGTTTTCTCCTGCGTTCAGTTGATCGACAGGGCTTCCCGCCTGGTCAAAGATAGAAATTCCCACCACTGGGGCACGATGTTTTAATTGAATTTCTTTGGCAAGCTGCGCGGAAATGCGACGCGGAGTCTGTGGTGCATTGCCACTTGCCGACGGTACTGCAGTTGCAGCGGTCTGCGCTGGGGGCAAATGCAACAGGAAAACGGAGACAGTACTGGCATTTGTTGCTGACCATAAAGTGGGCGATGTTATGTTGACTGAAAATACAATAAGAAAATTAGTAAAAACAATTAAAAACTGTAACTTGATTATAGCGATTAGTCTTGGGGTCTTGATAAAAAAGTAACTCACCATTAGTAACATAAGTTTTAGCAAATAGTAAACATCGCACCATTGATCCCAGACCGTCGTCAGCACAACGTGCTTCTATTTGCCGCTCAACAGGACGTGCCTCTAGCTGAAAAATACATTTTTAAATGAATTTACTAGTATATGCATATACACTGACAGAAAAAAAATATAAAGTGTATATTTACTAATTCTGTTTAACTAGTATGCTACTCACCGTTGTTGGCACTTGATTGCTGGGGTTGTTCCTGGTCGATCGACCCTTGCGAAGCTTTCTAAATGACTCCCGCAATGATTTCTTAAATGACTTGCGACGCGACAGCTGCTCACCTGCTCCAGTAAGATCATTTGGATTTAATGTGCAGCGATGAAATACTGGAACAAAGTTTTTGAAGTCAAAGAGCACTAAGCCGTGAGCAGTTCCACCGGATACGAGGCCCCAATTCGCCTCAAGTGCCATGCAAGTAATGCTGGCTGGAGGCAAAACCTGCAGCACTCCTGATATAGTAACGCTATTTTCAGTTAAAGGAATCGCATCCCCTTCCAATAAGTTTGGGCGCACGTTAAGCTGATCGTGACCTTTCCACACAAACCCATCACGGTCGCTGACCAAATTCATAGAACTGTATTTTAAAGAAACCTTTTCCGAGGCGTCATCAAAGTTAGCTATAACAATTTGACCCGCTGTGCCTCCAACAATGAGCTGCCCGGTTTTTGGACAAAATGCTATTTTTTTCACTGCCAATCGAGGATCATCGGAGTAAGGATCAAAAAGGCCCGCCTTTCGAAATGGCGGTTCTCCTTCATCGAGTTGATCCGCACTGATGTCTGCTACTGCATCGTCCCGAAATTCGTGTTCACTTCCGAAAATGCTGCCCGTTTTAAAATTATAAATTGGTTTGAGCAACACTCCAGTACAATCCCAAAACTTAACAGAACCATCTTCATGCCCAGTCAACAGAATCTCGTACAACTTAGCAGTATCCTCTTCATCAGATTCTCCTGAATCGGGAAGAACACCGCCAGTGATAGGCCAATCAATATTGCTGTAGTGAATGTCTTGTTCGTCGCCTGCTCGTAAAATGCTCTCATATACGGACTGCGTGACTTGAGAAGCAAGGTAATTGCAGGTAACAGCTGATGCGTGCACCGAGTGAAGATAGGGCGCTTTAATTGCGGAAATATTAGAGTCAGTGAGATCGTATGCGCAGAGTTCTTCCTCAAGTAGTACAATAAGCACTTCTGCGACATCAGTATTGTTTTTGTATGTTACAAAAAAGTCAATGACTTTAGATGTAAAATCAAGACACACTTTGAGTCCATCGCTGGCGTGTACGGATACGCAATTATGATCACCATATGCTGAACGTGGCATGCCACCGGAAAAAACAATCACATCGTTAGATCTAAAAAAAATATTCATAAATAACAAATATTCTTTTCCAGTTGTTATTGATATTTACCCTCGCTCGCCTTTGTACAGACGATTTATGCTCTTGCACGGATCAGGACCATATGGAACATAGTTAACGTTGGATGGCGGTTTCTCGTTATCTATGCTCCATGTGGCATACGAGCCATCAGCGTGATACCAGCTGAATTCAGATCCTCCGGAATTCACTGAAAGACCAACACTTTGTCCATGTCCGGGGGCTATGTATGCTCGTTCCACGGAGCTTGTTTCGAAATCCCATAAGACACAAAGGCCTCGGTTGTACGCAACGAGCAGCTTGTTAGGGGCGTTTGGAAGCTGGCGAATTGACTCAATTGCTCCAGGATTTAGCTTGTACGCTGGTGGCACCTGCTCTAACACCACATCATGGTAGATTACAGGTTCCTTTATTGTAAATGTGTTTAAATCAAGTTGATAGATGTTTCCGCCTTCGGTTCCAATCCAAAGCAAATCTTTATTTAAGGAACAGCATAGCGATGAAACTTTCTTCAGTTTGCCATCGAAGGGAAGTGTTTTGATTGGGAGCAAAGTCGTTCCCACAGGCTCCCACAAAATTAATTGGTTAGCTGCTGTTAACGAAAGTATGCGACCAGTTCCATAAACCCATTCGAGCAGTTGAACGTTGAGCTCCGATGCAGAGTTGTTCACCAATGTATGCTGTCCATAAAGTTCAACTCCGGGTTGGCCGAAAACCTTTATGGCCCCCGTTTGCGTTCCAATTGCCATAAGTTTTGATACAGGATCATATGCAAGGGCCGAAGGCTTGTGAGGGAAGCCATGCTGTGCGGTCTAAACGAAAAATATAATTTTAAAAATATGTGAAAACCAGTGTTAAATAAAAATATATAGAAAAGTACACACAAAAAAAAAGCTTGGTAAAATTAAAAAATAATTGTCAATCCAATCGATTTTTTTGTGTGTAGCCTATAATAACGTGGCTGAATATATATTTTTCTCTTCATTATGATTTGACCAAAATTATAAAACCTAGTTAAATTATAATGTACAGCTTTATTCAGCCGAAGTAAATATACACTATTAAATTAAAAATAATCTGATAAGTATTGCAAAAATTGTAAATGTAGACAGTAATTCGAATAAATTCAAGTCCTGGTAATTGAGACCTTTGACTTGATCTCAGCATAATTGAAAAACAGATATTTCTAAGATTATATTTCAAAAAACGCCGAAGATTTAATTACACATTATTAAATTAAAAATTAATCTCATAAGTATTGCACAAATTTTAAATGTAAATAATAATTAGATTTTTTCTAAATTAAATTCAAATTTAGAAAACATTTATAAATACATTTTTGTTTTAAAAATTTAGACATAATAATATACACTATTAAATTAAAAATAATCTGATAAGTATTGCAAAGATTTTAAATGTAGATAGTAATTCGATTTTTTCTGAAATAAATTCAAGTCCTGGTAATTGGGACCTTTGACTTGATCTCAGCATAATTGAAAAACGGATATTTAGAAAACATTTTTGTTTTAAAAATGTAGACATAATAATAGGTCTAAGAGAAATTATATGTGTATACGAGTCCTTCGACTTGATCTCAGCATAATTGAAAAACTTATATTTCTAAGATTATATTTCAAAAAACGCCGAAGATTTAATTTTAACAGCGAGGCTAGAAAAACACAAATTCATATTGAAACTTTATGATAGTATTCAAAAAACTCTAAACTAAAATAAAATGAAAATAACCCTTTAACCCAGATACAGGTGCATAAATTCTCTTTCTCTGTACTTTTTAGGTTGTTTTAATCTTATCATTTTTTACTGCTCCTATCTACTTAAACAATCAACATATTTTGTTTCGTATGATATGGAGGTGTTTGTGAAGCCTAGGCATTTACCCAGCCCATTAAACAAATAAAGCTAATCTTATCAACTACACTCCCTTCATGGAACTGGGGACTAAGTTTGGCCTGATTGCACTGGGTGCTTTTGCTTAATGATACATTGATGACTAATTTGAAAATGCTCTTTAATTACACAATAGAAACACAATTCTACTGTTCCTTTGACTAGTGTAGGATGTATGGTTCTGTTGAGCAGCTCTGGTATATTTTTGTAACAAGCTCTAACCAGTTCATATCGAAGTATAATATTCAAGGTGCGATCGTCACTAGTTTGGTTCTTGTTTGATAACAAGAAAGAATGCTAGCTTCGGCAAGCAAGTTAATCAATACATGCCAATTTATACGCGACAGACAGACTTCTTTATTATGTTCTTAAATTTAGTCCAATTAAAATAAAATGTATAATGTATTTTTAAAATCTTAAAAAAAGCGCTTTAATAAAATGTTGTGTCGTTTTTATATTAAATTGAAAATTTATAAAATATTTCTTTTCTCTTTTTTTAAACATATAAACAAAAGTATTTGCTTTTAATCATTGGGCCCCATATTTTTCTTTTCATAAATATTGGGCCCCATATTTTTCTTTTTATCGGCACAGTTTAGATTTCAAGTGTACCACCCAAAAGATTCCTAGCGAATGTGTCAGAAACTAAATTTACTCACTGGCATTAACGAAAAAGAAACGGAAACTAGGTGTGGCTGTTACAAGCTTTAAGCAATATATACATACCTTTCGATAAGCAAAAAGGTCCTTCTGTAGGCGTTGTCTTTCCACACTGGGCTGCTGACCCTTTCCGCGGATAAACTTCAACATATTTTACAAGACTTCTAGGGGATTCGTTGAACGGATGTACTTTTAAAAGCGGCTTTATTTAAATCAAGCTGGAAATAATAAATACGATAACATTTAGTTTTGATAAATGAATTCTAATTAATTTATAAGTCAGAAATTAATTCAACTTCTGGGAAAATCTAGTGGCGAAGGTTTGACTTTACAACAATTTTACTTGGGTAAAATGCTAGGACCGACAATCGAATGAGATTTTAAAAATCTCTAGCATAAAAATCCATTGGAGTCAGCTAGAACTTGGCCTACAAGACTTGCCAAACAAGTTGTGGTGATATTTTCACTCGACGTCAAGAAATGGTTCGTAGGCGGCTGTTGGTCGAACGCTTTGTATGTACGCATGTAAATTTTCAGGTAACTAGATACACAGGCGAAACCCCATTAAAGCGTACAGTAATAACCAAAATATGATTTATTTTCTATCCAGCAAAATACTCGGAAAAGTGAGATGCAAGATGTACCCGCTCGATCCGCACTCTTGCTAATGTGTATGTATTCCATGTTAATGAACTCGCTATGCTGCGTTGCACATGAAATTAGTATACTGTATGTATCCGTGAGTAAGCGAAGAAAGAGGCACCTGAATAATAAACGGCATATCAGCGATTTACCATTTCTGTCGCGATAGTTTGGCTGATAACCAATACCAGTCAAGTGGGGCCAACAACTTTGTGGCGCAAGGTGATGACCTAATTTCAAGTACATTCCCGATCGCAATGGTAGTATTGCAATTTAACGCCGGCATCCGTTCATCAGATACACACACACACACACGCAAAATATGCGTGTTTATAAAATGACGACTGCAGACTGTTTGCGTGGCTGACTCACCGCCTACGCCTGTCCACCAAGAAACCCATTTTTGTGGGTACACTTTGATAAGTTAGATTAGTTAGCCAAAAGCTATGTTAGTCTCTTACTTATTTATCTGTCTTTGCGCAATTAAGGCGGTGGCTGGAACTCTCTTGTGTGACACACCCACTTATATACATATGTATGTGTTTCGAGGGACGCCCGCACTAATCACATTTGCCGTCGCTTGGAAAATTAAGCAGGTATGACGAACACAGATAATAGAAAACACAGGGGCTATATCGGGCGTGGAGCTGGCCACTTTTTGTTAGACGGGAACGGTTTTCAGCGCAAAATGCGCGTCATAATTAACACAACACAAACAAAGTCGCGATCGGTGGCAGTGTGCCCGTTGCCAGATGTTTTCCAATCGATGTTTTTCCCATCACCGATGTTGCCAGATGAAATTCAGCCTTCCAATCGATGTTTTTCCCATCACCGATGTTGCCAGATGAAATTCAGCATTCCAATCGATGTTTTTCTCCCATCACCAAACAGCGTTGCGTCAAAACGTAAGGCAAAAGTAAGTGTCAGTTATACGTTACACCGGCTCTCAGATAAAAATTCAGCCTACCCCTAAAAAACTCAAACAGTCGATAGTTCCCCCTAAAAAATCCCGCCATCGATATTCCACAGCGATTGTATTTCGTTCCAATTAGCAATTGTCAGCTCGCACATGTTTCCATAGAGGGCGCCCGTCTCTTAAACCAGTTTCCCCCTTACACCAATTTGGCGCTCCTAAATGTTAGATTTCATGGTTTTTCTAACAGAAATGTTAAGATACAACGTTTTATTGGCAGAGGACTTACAGTTCTGCCAATTTAAGAAAACGTTGTATCTAAACATTAATATCTTACCCTAAAAATACCGTGCGGCCCTCAGAAATTTTCACATCGATATTATTTGCAGCTTATCGATGTTTTTAATAATATCGAAACTCTATGATAGTTAGCAAAGACACCCACCTCACCTATCGATGTTTTAGTATTTTTGCCTCGATTTATTACGCGCGCGAAGAATTCAAATTGTATTGCTTGCTCCGGTGTGTAATTTTAGGTAATTTTTGATTGAAAAGATTCCTAATTAAACAAAGACTAATGGTGCCAATTCTGTAAGTAATAAAAACTACTAGCGCGGTGCTACAGAAATAACTTTTCTCTATTTAAACGTTTAAACTGATGCACAGAGAGGAGCAGGTGGAAAAAAGTAATAAAACAATATTGGGGGAAAAAAAGCTCCGGTGTTTTTTAAGGTCTGTTAAAGTCGGTTTGCGCAGTCCCACATGCCTAGAGTAAAGAGAAATCAGCATGAATCAAACCTGGATAAAGTAGTTCTAGGAGGAAAGGCATCTTATTCCTTGCAGCTTCTTCTGCTGGTCATCGTCCTGGAGAAGAGAGGTACACTTATATATATTATATACAACAACTCTCAATTGTTTGATGGGTCAAAAAGTAATGACACGCGGCGCCCTGAAATCGATTTGGTATTTTGCGGTATTTAAATGTTTCAGTAATTTATCGCAATGCAATCGTGCTTTCGCGTTTCCTGAAATCAAGCTACCTATGCGACGCGGCCGCCATATTTGTGTATTTTTAAGTTAATAGCTAAATATTGTGACCCTTATAGATCTCGCCGATGAGATGCTGCGTAGCCGATGCACCACTGATCGCTCACAACGGGCTCGTGCCAATTGTTTCTCGTGCAGGGCGCGTCTTCTTGGCGGACGGACAACGAATATCAAAACTGTCTTCCCAGGAAGCGCGCAACATATTTCTGGCTGAAAGAGCGGCCAAGGCTATCAACGCACACCATATAGCAAAGTAGCATCTCGATTTGCCCTGAAGCACCCTAAGGAGTACGGGCTTGACGATGTCAAAATTTCCCAGGTATGTACAAAAACCAAAGGGCTTTCGCGAATCCTGAAATCAAGCTACCTATGCGACGCGACCGCCATATTTGTGAATTTTAAAGTAAATATTGTGACCCTAATAGATCTCGCCGATGAGATGCTGCGTAGCCGATGCCCACTGATCGCTCACAACGGGCTCGTGCCAATTGTTTCTCGTGCAGGGCGCGTCTTCTTGGCGGACGGACAACGAATATCCAAACTGTCTTCCCAGAAAGCGCGCAACATATTTCTGGCTGAAAGAGCGGCCAAGGCTATCAACGCACACCATATAGCAAAGTAGCATCTCGATTTGCCCTGAAGCACCCTAAGGAGTACGGGCTTGACGATGTCAAAATTTCCCAGGTATGTACAAAAAACCAAATTAACTTCACGTTTAAGTATATATGTAGGTATGTACATATGTATGTATAGATGTATGTATAGAAATAAAGGCCATCTCACTGTCTTAATAAAAGCATTAGATTATTTATAACCATCGGTAGTAGTGTAATTATATTCCAAATTATTATTAATTACATACTTAAAACTGTACACAAAAATTGTATTTCCCTTTTATTACATTATTTTATCTAACTTATTATTTATACTATCTTTTTTAGGAAAGCGAGTACCCAGAAATATCTCGTGCTTATGAAAAGCAATGAAATTGAGCGCAAGACATGTGTGGGGCATACTAATTAAAGTTAGTTCTGTACTGATGCTCGATCTAGACAAGATCCCTGGCAAATTTCAAGGACACTGCCAGACTTTCAAACTACCGTAATAATATTGATGATCTGATATGAAAGTCTTGGTTCAGGTAAAAACTATTATTTTCTGACTGCTTAGCAATTTGTAGGAAATATTAGGATTAACATGGGTCAGATGCAAGGAAAGACGTTGAATTGTTTTGTAATGTACTATTTTAAAGTGATTTTTAATTCATAAAATATTTCCCGATGCTATAATATTACATTAGTTGAAAGTTTATTTGCGTTTCTTTAACTTAAATTTGTTCAGTGTGTTAGTCCTTTAACATATAATATCTTTTTAGCTAAATCATATGACTTTGAAGTGCACTTAAATCAGCAATGTGAAATTAAGAAAGAACATTTTTCTAATTTACTGTTTATAGATTTTCAGGCGGTGCCCCATGTGATGGGTTGGGTCCAAACAATTCGTCGGGGCTGAATTCATGTTGCTGATGATCACTTTCGCTATCCATCGTATCCATCATAGCCATAAAATCGTCTAAACGCTCCAAAGAAGCAATAGCCTCACGGGATTCTTCATCTTCCAAGTAATTGCATTTTTCGTCACTAGAAGGCAACTTGGGGTGATCGATGGCCTGCTGTCCATAGCTCTGATTTGGTCTACCATAGCTCCCGTAAAGCTCTCGCAGCGTGGTGCGGGTAAGATTAAACTCGCGCATTCCGAAACTCATCTTTTCACAATCCTCGGCGGCGTCGCGCCTTGTGGCCTTTCGTTCTTCGTGCGCCAGTTGCTCGGCCTCCGTGCGCTCTACCGCCCCACTTGCCGCAGAACTGTGGCGGGAGGACCAAGAGCTGGAGGCTGACTTGCGGGATCTCTTGATTATTTGACGGCACTTGTTTGTTATGCCACCCACGATTTCGGAAACCAGGGCGGTGGCCCCTAGGAAGTAGCCGAGTGCCATCAGCAGAAACATTCCCTCTGTGTCCGCCGTGGTCAGTTGGCGCTCCTCCTGGATTATTTCCCGCAAAGAATTCGATGAACTGGCTTGCAGCAGGCGACCTGAGGACGAGCGCTGCATAACCCAACTTACCTCGTTATTGATCTTGGCAATGAGACCGCTTTGCTGGGCCAGCAAGATCATCGAGTCGATCTTGCGCTTATACACGGACTCCCGGGGAAAAAGAAATCCTATTTGGAAGAGAGCGAAACACTCTTCACTCAAATGGAGCGCCGATCGGCGCGAAATATTTCTGTAAAATCGTGTTTGTTGGTAAGCAGGAAAAGTACAATAAGGATCGGTCTTACTCATCTGAAAAATTTGACTGCACCAGGTATTCGAGTTGAGACTTGGAGCCCAGAAAGGCATAGTTCCAAAAGAAACTCTGTGTAACGTTGCCAATACCCTCCTCCAGCGTCCCGACAAACTCCATCTTCTTGTACAGCCTAGACGTGGGAACGTGAGTGGAGTTTTGAAACCAGGTCTCCCAGCCGCCATTGTCTTTTCGTAAGCACCCCAAATATTATTAATGAATTTAATCTACCTTGACGTTTTCTCACCCAGGGTTCCAACACGAAAAAACAGTCCCAGCAGGTCCATCACAGAATCAACAGTATCGGGAAACGCTGGCAATGTTACGAATGCAATGATTGAACCGGTGTAGCAAGATGTAATTATAATTGTAAAGAGCCAATAGGCCCCAATTAGGAGGCGTGTGGAGTTCTTCTGGGTATTGCTCCACGAGTATTTGCCGGTGAAGGTAAAAGCGTTCGTGAACATGCCGAACACATACCAAAACATGTTCTCTACCTCTCCCCAGTTACCCATCAAATGGCTTAGTGTCAAACGGTCAGTGAAGACGATCGGGAATATCCCTCCAAGGTACACGCAAATAAGAGCGACCCAAACGGGCCACTGAAACGGGCCCATGATGGCTCTGTATTTGGGCAGTGCCTTCGAGGCGAGTGTTATAAAGGCTGCACAATCGCGTGAGTGTCCCACCGACATGTCGGAGTCCTGCAGTCTTTCCTCAGTTATGTATATACCGGACATCCCAATGTCTACTGTCCTCTCCACAATCTGTTCCTGGATAGTGTCGACTACTCCCCGCGTAAAGGCCCGTGTTGGGGTCTCAGTGATATCTACCGAAAAGTTTAAGCGCTTCGATATCATACTCAGTAGTCGGAATTCCACTCCGTCCCAGCGTAACTGGCTCATTCCTGAGGAGTCTAAACTGCGGATGCGAAAGATGAAAGGCGGCTGATTAGCGGCAGAAATTTGGAATCTGTGTCCCGCAAAGCCAAATTGAAACTTCGGCGGAAAAAGATTGATGTGTGGTCTCGACAGAGCACCCTTTATCCAGCTGGTGAGCACCACTGGGGTATTCGAGCCCAAGCCATCTGCGTAAAGTTTGTGCGTGTACAAAACGTAAGGACGCTCCTGTGACAAAGGTTAGTCCAATTTCATACAAATATTATTATTGAATATTCATTTATACTCACGCGCATTGGATCAGCCATCAGCGACTCTCCAATAACCAGTAAATTTACTATGTTTGAGGACAGTTCCGATGACAAAAAATCCCGAAGCCTCCATTGTGTCGACCTCGAGACAAGGACCACACGACTTTCCGTTTGAGGACCTAAAATCTTTCGCGTCATTAGGGGGTCCGAAAGAAACAGAATGTAACTTTTGCAATTGGTATCAATGTGGCTTGTGAAACGGGAATTTTTCGCCTCGTAGCTTGGATTAATTTCGCCATGGTAGAAAGTTATTGGGATAGTCTGCCAAAGAAATTAGATTGTAGTGATACAACATTCAGTCTCCAATTGTCCAATGTCCTTAAGTGAACTTACCTTAAACAAATTCTCAAGAATAAGTCCATCTGATTTTTCCACAAAACTGTCATAATATATGACCGGTGGACATTTATTTAGGTACTCTTGAGCAATTTTGTTAACCAGCCCAACCAAAGAGTTAGTCTGATCAAAGTTGTACGAATTTACATGGAATTTACTGGCCAAAAGCTCTCCTCGCGGCTTTGGATTGCCGTGAAATGTCGGGTCAACACGTCGCTTTTGACGTAATTGAGTCCCATTTTTAGCACTGCAGCTTACCGGCCCGTAGATTTCTTCGTTCAATTGATAACGGTCAATGAGCCATCGGCTAATACACTTTTCTTTATAATCAAATCCGTGGGCCCCTCCACTGACAAACCATTGAGTCGTCAATAAGACCCAAACTATCCAAGTTTCCGACATAGCGAGTACAAGTCTTGAGCTCGATGTGTTTGCAGTTGTAAGGCTGTAGTTCTTTTTATACCTTTTTACAGCTCGAAAGCTTGCACGCAAGGGTTCATCACCTTAACAAATTATATAGAGCTCAATATTGTCCCAATCACGAGTATATTATTTGTAACACCTGCACCACATGTTTCGAGTGGCGCATATATGAAAACTGTGTTGGTATACTTTCGATTTGTCATTCAGATTACAAAAAGAGTTTACAATTTAAATATTACAATTTATTGCAAGCATACGTGAGTACATTCATACATAGGTTTATCGTTTTGTACAAACATTAGCACAAAATACTTAATTCACTCGTTGCTCCAAAGATTTTCTTATATTGCGCCCTGTGGTATATAGTTTAGCTCACTATTTGTATATGCCCTTATAATATATGCAACTCGACCTACTTGATTATCATTTCTAATTATTGCATGTTGAATCCCCTTAATACTTTATACCTTACATGGTAAACTACAGTTGACAGGCTTACAAGTCGTTTTATTTAACTGAATCAAATGTTTTTTAACTTTTCGGAAAAGCGGCTAAGTATTGGCAATCGTTTCGACTTATTTATCTATCTCTTGATCCTATCCTTGTTTTGTATATTCATTTTTTGACTGCCGTGGGTAATCGATAAGTAAAGACTAAGAATTCAATTAACTTATTAAATTCTCTCTGACTTTATGAATTTCGAAGATGGGTTAGGTTAGGCGGTGGTGGCTTCTACGAAGATAATTTGACAAAATTTACACTATAGGTTGTGGTGAATAATAAAAAAAAAATGACAGAAGTATGTATGTGATTCTTTTCCTAATAACCTTAGATAAATTTATGGAATAATACAAATGAGTGCGAAAATAAGTTATAAGAACTTATCTTTTCAATGCACCCAATTCCGACTTGCGTTCAAAAACACTTTATTAATTAAAATGAAAAAGGGAACACGTGATTAAAGGCTTCTGCACATCTATTAATACATAAATTCAGCTGTAACTCTTTATCACAAGTTAAACGAAAAAGTATACTAGCCTAATTTTTAAATGCGTTCCGTGGCGGAAACCAAGGACTTGGTGCATCCAAATCCTACTAAGTATTTTGTTATGCCATCGAAGGACTCGGTGCACCAAACACGCAATTTATTAGTACTTCTTAGTCTACAATCCTACGCCTAATTGATTTACGTTTACAAGAGTCCTGCTTCAATTGCGTGTGCAACTTCAAGAATAACTGTATACGTAAAAATCTATAGGAATATAAAGATAGGTATTGAGTATATAAGAGGGAATAAATAATTTGTAATAACATGCTCCAAAAAATTAACTATGGTCATTTAAAAAATTAGCTAAAAGTATTAAATTAAATGAAAACATTTTAACGAGTGAATTCCGTATTTTGAGCTCGAATGAATAGTGGCTTTAACACTTGGGCATTTTTGATTGCTGAGTGATTCTTCTTGCCTACTGCTAGCCCTAGATCTTAATCCCCAAAAAGTTCCATGCGATACTAGCGATGCCGAGTCTTACGCCGCCGGTTCTTCAACTTCGTTATCGATGCGGGAAGATCGGATTCCAGATTTTCCAGTCCAGGGGTAAATGTCAGGGCATGGCTGACATGTTTTCATGTACCGGACTCCAGACTTGTGCCACAGATTACACACTTTCGGGTTGTTGCATCGTTTTGGCCGATCCTAGTTGGTAGTCGAAGTTTATTATGTATCTGAATTACTGTTACCTGATCACGAACTGCGTATACTTACTGAGTAATCGCACTGGAATGGCTGGAATGAGTTAATGCGAGATGTCGGTGTAGGATCTCGCACCCACTGTAGCGCCTGCCAGTTGGTTATGATCCATACATCCTGCATGGCATTGATGGCGTCAAGGAATTTAATGAAGCCCTCCTTGTGGTGGGGCTGGGTAAACCATGCAGCGTGGTAAAACAGGCCGAAAGGTGCTCTGTAAATACAAAAATTGTTAGAGCCTAGACAAAAGTATCCGATAAGCGTTTCAATAGAGGCATTCAGGTCTGGTTATCCCTGCGGATACGCTTCATTCGACTCTAGCGCGCGATAAGTATTGCTCTAATCGTACCTGTTGGTGGTGTAATGACGTTCAAAGTTCTTCATAATCATCTTTGTTACTCCATCCGCATCGCTGGGGTTCGAACAGGCATCGCCCATCGAGCATCTGCCTCCGTTTAGATCCTGCCACATGACCATAGGTACTTGCCATACCCCAGGGTAGGAGCGAGTTGGGCAGGGCGGAATCATGCAGTCGTGGAATATCTTGTAATCCAGGGTGTAGGGCCAGGAGGGTGGTCGGTTCTCGTAGACAGGCATGGACGAGTCGTAGGTGAAGTTTGAGTCGTACAGCATTTTGTACATTTTGTTACCGCCCACTGAGAGGAATGGTGCGCGCATGCCTCGCACGTCTGATAGCTTCACGCCGCCGTAAGCAGCAAGGATCTCCCGCTGTCCGGCAATTTCGCGGGTCCACTTTTTCTGCGAGAATTGCTCGCCAAAGCTATGTCTGTAGATGAATGTGTTTGTGATTATTAAACAGGAAGATGCGGTTAAATCTTTGTTAGCACAGCGGTGTGGTTTTGATTAGTTTCGAGATGGTATATCGGTGCATTGAGGTTGATTTTTCTAACTACATAAATACTGTGATATAGTGCTGCTTCTAGTTGTGTTCATTGTTGTGTACTTCTGTGTCGGGTTCAAGCTTCTAGTTTCATATACTTACGAAACTGTATGCGAGGCCATTTCATGTCCATCGGCGTAGAGATTCTGCACCTGACTGTAGTCGGTCCATTCGTGGGAGACGTAAAAAGTAGCTGTGATGGGACAGCCGTTGGGATTGACGCGACCCTTCTCGAAAAGATCCGTGTACAACTGCTTGTTTAAGTCATTTACGGAATCATCAAAAGTCAAAAGAACGATCTGAGGGATGCTTTCAACGGGAAGGTCGCCTAGCAATGCAAATGGAATGTGGATGAAAATATGTAGAGAAAAAAGAGCTGCGGGCTAAGAACATGTAGCCATCTTAAGTAAAAGCGAGCAAAAAACCGATGCAGACTATGAACGAGAGAGGCGCTTTTGGAGGATGTGACCTTTGCTGATAAGGACGCTGTCTAACGCAACTTACGAAACGGTGTGAGACGCCATTTCATGTCCCTGTGAGTACAGATCCTGTACCATGCCGTAGTCCGTCCACTCGTGCGATAGATAAAAGGTTCCGCGCCAAGGACAACCGTTAGGATTTTTCCGCGACTTATTATTGAAGAGTTCCTCGTAAAGATCGATATTTATCGTATTGACGGCATCGTCAAATGTCATAAGTACAATTTGAGGGGTCTCCGAGGCGCTCAAGCCGCCTACACATTTGTTGGCATTACATTAATTATTTAATTGTATGCGTCATTTGCGATCGCCGTTTCCTGCATCAGAATCGTGATCTACTTAACTGTACTTGCACTTACCCGGTATTTCCTTGCCTCCGCAGTAACAGTCTGGTAACAAGCAAACGTCCTTCCGGCACTTAGCTGCCGTTTTATCTGGAGTGGGCTGTGGGTAAATGGGGTCGGGGCGAGTCGGTGGGTACCGGTATATATCCACAAACTCTTGGGCCTTTGACACAATGGTGCCGGATGGTTTCAGTGTGGGACGTGTTCGTCTTAAAAATTACATTTGATTTAACTGCTTCACTATGTATTAAATTGTATTCTTACGGTGGGTGAGTTCCACGGTTCGGCGTTGAGAGTACATCTCTATCCTGATTGGCGTACATGGCATTTCCCCGATTTCTATTGTTGTTTCTAAATAGAATTTGTTGATACATTGGTTTAGGGAAATATAAGATAAGAGCAGATATAATCGAGTTGCTCTACTCGAATCAAATTTCAGTTTTCACTGCTATTACTAATTTGTGCTACACAAATAGACGGATGAATGCAAGATTAGTTGTTCTATACACATTGGATGATATTGGTTAATGCCCATTACGAACTATTCCCGTAACCTTATTTTAAATTAAGCATACCTTTACCGACAGAGCATAAAAAACATAATTTTTTGTCCAATATCTTGTAAATAAGTTTTAGTGAGAACCAAAAAGTTGTATTGCATACTTATGTGTCACGTGTTGGCTTTTGAAGGTAAAAAAGGCTGAGAAAAGACAAAGATGTTTAATTTATGTGTAAGGACCGCAGAAGTGGGCAGCAAATTCACAATATAAAATACACTAGAAGTGCTGAATCTAAACTGTACGAACCTATGCTGAAAGATATTTCCCTTTATTTTCTTTACCCTGAGGTTTAAATATTTTCTTCTATCAGCGACACACACCGTACCTACTAAATTTATGCTCGGTAAAATGTGCGAAAAATTATTTGATCATTATATGTCAATTGCCTTTGCTTTAATTTTTTTATACATTATTGGCAGACCTCAACGCCTACTTCATAAGTCTTTTATTGATTGAAAATGAATTCCCACTGTAGAACAATGGTAAAGTGTTGATATTAGATGGTAAAGAATTTTTAAATTTAAATATTTAAACCTTTTTTGGTTTTTTAACTTCTTAGTTCTCACATCTGCGTAATAGTATACCATTTCGAATTTTTCGTAATCAATTGATGTGTACAGTTTAATAGCAAATAATAAATCAAGACAATTTTTAGGGATTTACTTTTACGGGCCACCACCGGTACTAATACAAGGATATCCAGTGATCGGTTAACGGAATTTCCAAAAGTAAACCTTTTACAATTTGTTTGCCAAAGTTTTTTGCAACATTTTACCCATCAGCTAAAATTTAGTAAGTTCTTATGTATCTTCGTATTAAGTCACCAAGAGGATTCAGTGAAATTGAACCTAACTATGATCGTATACATAGAAGTACGTAAAATCGAAAATTATTCAACGGGCATTGGTTGTTTAGCAAACAATACTGTGGGCACACTAGGAAGCCAACAATCAACGCCAACCAAATGAAAGTGTCTATAAATACGTAGATTAGAGGTGGGTGAATGTGGGGTGTAATGAGAGACTATAGAAAGCTTGAGAACAGTACAGTACAGTACAATACGGTACAGTGTTGAGTGGGAGGCTATAGTTGGTTGGTTGTGTTCAAAAACAAATTACGGTGATTCTAATAGAGGAATAATAAAGAGAGCGATAAGGAGAGTAGAGTGATGGCTGGGATCGACTGAACTTAAAAGCAATCTGTACGGGTAAATATACCTTGAAGGAATCTCGTTGCATTTGGCGTTCAGTGTGCTGTCGGAGCACTTCACCGAGGCTGAGGCTGCGGCGCCATTATGGTTGCTGCTTATTTGCTGTTGGTGGTTCTTATTGTTGGGGGCGAAGCCAAATTGGAACTTTTGGGCTTTACCCGCTGAAACTGGTGGCTGATAGGTTGAGGTGCTAGGGCCTAGGGCAGCGGCAGCAATCGACGACTTTATGACATTGTTAACCCTCGAAGCGCGCGCAGTGTGCGGTGCAAACGGGGAGGGGGTGGCTGTAGCGGTGGCGATGTTGGGGGCGGGGGCGCTTGCGGGGGTCGGGTAAACTGGTGGGTCTTTCGGGGCTCTAGGGGTACTAATATCGGGGGTGCTCAGGTAGGTTCTTGGAGTTGGAGTGGAATCGGTGCCCAAGACGCTAGGAGTGGAGGAAGAGGTGTATGCTTTGGATTGGTTTGGCACTTGTCGCATTGACGAGCTAACAGTGGCTGCAGTGGAGCGGGGTGAAGATGGTGGGGCAATCGGCGTGGTGGTAGGGCGCCGCGTCGTGGTGGTCGTTTTTAAAGTGGTCGTTACTGGTCGATCAGTGGGCAAGTAAAGCTGCTTGATCTCATCAACTGCGGCCTTTATCTCGGGCAATGAGTACTCGTCAACGAACTGGGAGGTGCCGCTCTCATCGCTGTTGCTGTTACTATCACTGCCAGCAAGGAACTGCCTCAGCTGCTCCAGGACGTTGGCGGATTGGAATTTCTGAGCCGGGCCTTGAGCTGACGTTATGTACCCGGCGTTCTGAAGGCTCTCTGCCAAAGTGCGTTCCGCCGTTTGCTGTCGGTATTTGTTAGAGTAGAGAAATTTGACAGTTGGGCGGTCTGTTATCGCCACGACATGTTCGGTGGAGCTGTAGGCTATCGCACTTCCGCCCTCCTCCAAGCTGTTCTGTTGCCTGCCTTCCAACGGCTGGCTGATTAAGGCCTCGGCCCGTGGCTCGTCAGGAATGCTGGCTTCATTCTCGATTGGCTTTCGCTTTAGGGACTTGCTTAAAGCACCTTGCGAGCTATAGGCGGGATCCTTGGCCTGCAATGCGGCTTTGTAAGCTTCGTACTTTTCTTGTGGCTTAGCTGTTGGCTCCCCAAACGAGGTCCGCTGATTGCTGATCACTCGAACGCGTTGAGGTTTGCGTTTCGAATACGGACTAGTATCGTATCCGGGCGGCAACCTAAACTTGGGCGCATAGGTCGTGGGCTCGTCCACGCTGTCTCCGAGACTGTTTAAGGTGGCTGCTGTGTATCGGGAGCGGCCACGGGGTCGGGGGACTGGGGACTGTGATACGCGGATGGGCAACGAAGCGATCACGGCGGAGACGGTCGTGGGAGAAGCAGTAGTAGTCATATCTGGCGGCGGTGCTTCCGTGCTAGTAGTAGTAGTAGTTGTTGTTGTGGTAGTGGTGGTTCGCAGCATGCTCGGCGCGGGTCTCTGAGGACTGAATGTGCTAAGTATAGCGTCGCTAACGCTAAAGTTACGTGCGTTTCCTGTCGCCATTGTGGCCAAAACATCTTGACTGGTGTTTCTAGCAGATGTGACCACAAAAAGGTTTTTTGGCGGTTTTGAAGTAGTCTGCAGAAAGGGTGGAAAGGCCGGTGCATTTGTGTATCGCGGTCTAGCTGTCGTTCGCAGTTGGTGGTGCTGGTGGTGGCGGTCTTCCTGGAGCAAGTTCTCTAGACTTTTGTACGGTGAGACAAAACGCATTGCAGGGTTGACAGTAACGCGATTTAGGCTGTCCTTAAAATAATTGGCGCGGGCCGTATAAGTTGGACCCGGTACAACATACCTTTCCGTGCTGGGCGGTGCCAGAGCCTTTGGTGTTGTGGTAGTTCTAATGGTGCTGCTCGACTCAACATTGTCATTCGAGGTGGTAGGAGCTGATGTGCTTGTACTGGTACTGGTACTGGTACTGGTACTAGTACTTGTGCTAGAACTTGTGGTGGTTGGCCTATAATATGCCTGTTGAATGGTGGGTCTTCCGTTACGCCAAATGCGAAGAGGTGGGGCGTATGTTGTGGGAACGATGTCCACATACTCCTGAGATAAGTCAACCGGTGTTGTTGGGCTTGTTGTGCTCGTGGTGGTCGGCAGACTCTTTTTCTCCGCAGAAGTTGGCGCAGACAGATTTCCTTCGTTTTCGTTCTGTTCGACACGTAGACTAAAACCATGCGATCCACTTTGAAGACTATATTGTATTGGCTTATTGGGTCGCGTTGTACTTGCACTTTCCATTTCTTCCGCCTGTGGTCCCACATCACCCTTTACCGGAACTGTAAAACTCTGTGGCGCCACATCAGAGGTGATGTAGGTCTGAATACGTTTGCGCTGTGGTTCCGGATCCCTTGAGCTTGACTCGAATGAATAATCTCTGTCCCGATACGGGAAATCCCTGTTCACGAGCTTATCTGGCACTGCATTCAACAGATTGCCGCGCGGACTGGTACCATAAGCAGCGGCATTGATAAAGTCCAGGAATTTGGCCGATGTGCTGGTTTCGAAGGAACGACTCCTTGGCGGCTCGGCCGTCTGAACATGAACGTTCTGACTCTCGTCAAAAACAGTCTCAACGTGCTCCTCCACCAGGGGCCATTGCGTGGTAGAAGGCGGGGGCGTTGGGGAAAAGGTTTGGGTGGGAATTTGGACTGGGACTGGTTCCGTAATCGTGGGTTGGCGATAGGAGTTTGTAAGGTTATGAACTTGTCGGTAGCCGGTGGTATTGCTTTTGGGCTGGCTGTTTGAGACAAAATTTACCAGTGACTTGGCAAGATTTTGCAGTTTTGATTTGAGAAAGGGATTGGAACTATAAGTCGAGGGATTCGAAGGAGGTGTGGAGCTGGACGTGGTGGTGGTTGGGGTACTGGAAGATTGTGTAGTTGTCTTTGACTTGTTGGGAACATGTTGTTTATAGGGCTTATTTGCATGCGCTTTCGAGCTGTTGAAGAGACGTGTATTCGAATAAGTAATCACATAAATGTTAGTAACTTATTGCTATGTGTATAGAGCATTCAATTTGCCTAGCCTTTTGGTTCTCAGATTTTGAAATTCTTTTTAGTTTTTGGTTATCGTTTTCGAGCGAACTGCCAACTGAGACAGCTGCAAAATACGAATAGGTACATGCTCATGCGTTTTGTATTTCGGGACACCTAACGGATATCTTATGAGTAGTCATGCAATGGATATGAGTACTTAATCACATTACAGGGAAGACAGAAAGACATAATATGGAATACATTTGTGTTCAAACAGTCAGCAGAGTTTCGGTTCGTTGGCGCTGACGCTGTAGATATCAATTTGCTTGTTCAAAAAACTGCCTAAATGTACTTGGCGAGTGTGTAATGTTCTGTATAATGTGATAGCCAAACTTTCAAGCTGCATGTGTTATGCGAGAATGAGAACTTACAAACTATGCAAATAATAATAAAGCCAGCTAATGACTGAGTTGCAATTGCTTCGGATGGCCGCTGGCAGTGAGACTTTACTTCCTACGTTGTTCTAAGGCGCTATCGCAATGGCTAGTGAAAATACCTTGCTAGTTTTGTTGTTGTCGTAGATGGGAATGGTGTCGTGGTTGTAGTTGTGGTTGTTGTGGACTTTGTGACCTTAAGAGTTTGTGTGTTGGTTATGGAACTCTTCGACGGGTTCCTGCTAGGTGCCAGAGTTGGTTTTGTGTTCTGGGACCGTGTTGGTGGCGCCGTTGTGCTCTTTCTGGTTGGACCCACAACATTAGCAATCAGATCATAGTCATCCGTATCGGTGCGCGGCGTGGACTTGGCTCGAGTCAGCGTGCGCTCGCTCTGGTCATAGTCCTCTGCCGACCCGTAGGCGTACTCTGCGGAACTAGAGTAGCTGTAGTCAGCAGGCCCGAGTTCCGGAGCGTGGAGGGTAGTGAGCGTGTCGTAGTAGGTGGGATCATCCGGACGCGTCGTCGGGGATGGCGCCGTCGAAGGGATGGCCCGGGTGTCCAGGGTTTGTATGGCCACCTGTTCCGGCCTGATAGATAAATGTATTGTGGTTGGGTGTTTACGTATAGGGTTGGAAGTAGTGTCTTAATTTTGATGCAGTGTGTGGCTGTTTTGTGATTGTGTAGTTACACACTAGACAGGACTCTAACTAGTTTTGTGGGATGAGTTCTGAAATCCCTTTCAGTGCAGATGGTCTAAAATGCTCTGCAAGGCTGACTGTTCTTTGGTTTTTCGGGAATGGTTTCCTTTGAGATGTCTCAAACTTGAGAAATGACGCGGTGTTAGGGCATGTGATTAATATTACTTACCTCTGGGGTGAACGTGTTGGCTGATCGTACAAATTTTCCTGCTCGATCTAAAATCACAGTCAATAATAACAATATTTAACATTTCATATATATGTATATATTATAGCATTATAATATTTATATAGAGTTCATTTTACCTGCGCATTAATGTCCTCATCGTAGTCTGAGGTGTAGGTCAAGGTCTGCTGGTTGCCGTATGATGGTTTTTGTGGGGGAGTCGGGGTGGCCGAGAGCTCCAAGGGGCGGTAGGTTGATTGCGGCTGTTGTTGGCGCACTGCTGGTTGATACTGGGGGGCAGCTGGCTGCTGAGGCGGCTGCTGCTGTTGGTACTCTATATCCCTATATAAATCGATATCGTCGTCGTAAACAGAATAATAGGATGAATCATAGGGATGTGGTGAAGCTTGTGGCGGCTGCTGATGTTGTTGTTGTTGCGGTTGCGCTTGTTGGAATGGTGTTGGCTGTAGTTGTTGTTGTTGCTGCTGCTGTTGCTGCTGCGGTGGTTGGTAGCCGCCCCCATGATTAAATATGGATGCATTGTAGTAGTTACGATTGGGTTCTAACTGTGGCGATGGAGCTTGTGGCGTGGGCTGTACAAATATATTAGCGGGTGGCGGCGCCCCTAGCGATGACGGTGAGGATGACTCAACTCTGTACAGGTTGTTGGTTTGGTTGTCGAAGATGATTTGGGTGTAAGTGTAGTGATGTCGTGTAAGTGGCGGAGATTATTTACATTGACAGAAATTCACGGCAATTAAATGGGTAGATTATGGAGAGACAATGGTGATGTTCGTAAACAAGAGAGAAAAATGTAAAACGAGATCAAAAACAATTCAATTTAAATTAACAAAATAATTAATACCAAAAGATGGGCGGATAGCAAAGATGTGGAAGGGATTAGCACAGGAAATTAGCTGGGGTTAGTGTTAGTGTTACAGCTAGAGTTATAGTACCCCGTCCAGAACATTTGTTTAGTCAACTGTACAGCTTTGGTAAGTTCGATTCGTGGGATCGCTTAGTAGTGGGTCTAAACGTAGACGTATAAACAGTTTTACCGCGGACGGGCGTGGAGTATATGGTATATGTACATAGAACCCTTGTTTTCTTGTATTCATTGATGTCTTGTGTATCTGTGTAGCGGCACAATGTAATTCATCTATCAGGGACATGTCCCGGCTCATACAGCTACCTGTGACGTTCTTCGCCTGAGCCGACATGTATAGAATTTAGCTGCAGGCCGCCCAAGTTGCTCTGCTTGCTGGAGCCTAAGCCTAGGGCGGGGCTATTGTCGGTGAGGTTCTTTGCGTCCTTTTGTCCTTGGACCGGTGACATCGTCATCCATTTTTGTTGTCCTCGCGTGTTTGGTCGCGTTGTATAACGAACTCGAGTCGTTGGGGGCGCCGTGCTGGAGGAGATTGGCCTTGGATTGGAAGTCGGACGCATGCTGCGCGGGGTCGTGGGTGTTTTGGTATTCACTTGTGGGCTGTTAGACTCCGGAAGCTGAGGCAGCCGCTGCTTCAGCTCCTGGAAGATATCGCTGGGAAAGCTAATGAACGACGGCACGCCGGCCTCGGCACCTGGTTGGTTTAGCGAGAAGTTGGGGAACGGACGGCGTGTGGTCGTCGCCTCCAGGAAGCCCGTCTGGAAGTTTGGTCGCGCTTTTCCAGGCGACTCAGTGATTGGCACGGCCGTAGCTAGTTGTGGGCGGGGAGGGGCCATGGTCTCGGACATGGGCATGTAAGGAGGCATTTGAGACGGAGGAAGTATGTCCTCATCCTCTTCGTAATCCTCGTCATAATAGTCGACGCCCTCGAGAGTCGTGGTGGTTGGCACTCGCAGAGTGCTTGTCGATGTGCTGGGGGCGGGACTTTGACTAGAGGTCTGCTTGTTGAGTTGGTTCTGAATGCCCTTGATGAAATTTTCGTACCCCTTCAGAACCCTCGTTGTGGTCGGAGTTGCAGGCGTGGGCACTGTCGGCTTGGCTCTAAGGTGAATCTTGGAGGCCGGTGGACTTGGCGTGGTCGGAATCTGGGTGGTCGTGGTTGTGCTGCTAGTTGAGCTCGTACTGCTTGGCACTGGACGTCGAAGGACCGGGGCATTGCGCAAGTTGCTTTTCCCATTTCCATCGCTACTAACCTGCTTGAAGTACTTCATGAATGGATTCACGGCCGGGTTGACACTGGCCAGATCGCTGGCCTTAAGGTTGGCCATAAACTCGTGGATGTTGAACTGAAAGTTTGTCAGCTTAGACTTGCTCGTGGGAAGATCGCGCTGCGGCGCCTCTGTTGTGCTGATTGACTTGGTGAAAGTCTGGTAGGATTCTGGCATTGTGCTGTTGCTGGCGTAACTAATGCCCACAGGAAGGTGCGAGAAGTCGCGAAACGGAACTTGCTGCAGACTATTGGGTCTATTGTAGGCCAAGTTCGGGGCCGATACGACATTAATGCTTTGTGTCACCTGTAGCGGGGTGACAGGGGGCCTAACTTTAACGGCAGCATGCCCGGTCTGGCCTGGCGTCGCGGTGCTGAAGACGCCCTTCATCTTCTGGTTGGCTACAATGTTGTACTGAAAGTAGTTGCTCTCCGTCGTGCTGCGCTGCCCATCGGCAGAACCAATGCTGTACTGGGAGACCAACTTGCCGGGATAGTTGGCGGCAGTGTAGGAGGCCTGGTCCGGTTTCTGGTTGTTGTAGAATCCGCCCATGGTGCTGTACTGACCATTTGGAGTGACCTGTTGTGCGGGTTTCGAAGGGTCAACTGGCGAGTAGCGGGTGGTGCTGGCTGTAGGCACAACTGTGGCCCCTGAAACGGTGGCCGGGCTAACGGGCTGGTTGTCCAGGTGGAAGTAGGCAAAGTTTTCCGCCTGCAGATTCTTCCGCCGCTCCTTTAACTCCTTCAGTTGTTGTATAAGGTAGGGAAGAAGGTCGCCCGCATTCGAGTGCTGCTGCTGGATGTTGTGAGGCCGCGGGCTGCTGGGCCCTGGGCCAGCTGCTCCGTAGTAGCTGCCGGCAATCGGCCGAAAGTCGTCCTCCAGGGGCGGCGGAGGCAACGACAGATTGTAGCCAGTGTAGACCACTTTGGGCTTTTGCTGGGGGAGCGGTCCAGCGGGAGCCACTTGCTGTTGCTGGTGCACGTAGGCCTGGTAGCCGGGAGTTAACTGATTGTAGTTGTGGTTGCCATATGACTGTTGGGTATTGGCAGGATTGGGCGGAGTGAGGTACGGATTGTAGCTGCCAAAGCTATAGCCCGTTTGCTGAGAGTACTGTGGGGGAACGGGTGCGTCGATGGCACGGTAATTTTGTCCCGGCCACTTTGATGACGCATGTGCGATGGGTCGCAGTTGGCGGGGCCGTCTCTTCGACTCGCCCGTGGCCACATCATCATCGCCTCCATCTCCGTCTAAAGATTCGCCATCTTCATTAGCAATCTGCTCGTAGTCAAACTCCATGGGGGTCTCGCCTTTTGGCTGACTGATCTTTGAGGAGTATTTACGTGGCTTAACGAATGCCGGGGCCACCTCTTCGAGTTGTTCTTTTGAATTGTTCGAGCTATTTGAGATATCACTACTAACTGGAAGTGCGCTGGAGCTTTCGGGCTCCACCACTTCCCTCGCACTATTTGAGTCTTTGGAATTTTCCGATTCTGCAGGCTCAGTGTGCGCAATTTCTGCGACCTGCGCGCTAAGATCTCGGCGTTTGCGCCGCTTACCTCCATCGAGTCGGTTGTGTGACAGTTCGTATTCGAGCGTCTGGTCGCCGTCCAATCTTTCGCTGTTCGTGTACAGTTTTTTTCCAAAAGCGGTACGGTTGTCCGGGGTTTGCGGTCGAAGTGTGGATAAGTCGGTGTCGGTTGGAGCAAGATAAAGAGATAGTGCAGTATGCGTTGTATGAGAGAAAATAGCATGTAAAACGATGAGTTGCATAGAATTTTGACTTGATTTAGCATCAGTAAAGTAGTGGCATCAATTAAAAAGCGACGATAGATGAGAACTGATCTACTTGCAGCAGGGATGACAGCTTACCTGTAGGCGGTTCCAAAAGCATACGATCCGATTTTGCCACTTTGGGGAATGGCATTGATACTAGCCTGGTGAATAATACCATCGCGATCGCGCTGCACTTGACTGACGGTACTGGGTTGCCCACGATACACTCTCTGCTGGCGATCGGACTCCTCTTCTTCCACAGGCGGCAAAGTCTCCTGGGCATCGGCATAAAGCTAAAGGAAGTAGGATTTATATATTTTGATTTATTCGAATCATGACGTAATTAAGGAAAGTTTTCATAAATTATAGTCTAATTTTTCCAATAATGTAAATCGGTCAAATAAGTCTAGTGTTTTCTGACAAAAGTTAGAGTACCATCCGCAATGGTAAAGAAACTGGGACGAACAAATAATCTACTTGGGACTGAAATGCATGTTCAAACTCGCCTTCGCAATGTCCTCCTGGGACTCGATCAGTGGTTTTGGTTGACCCCGCGACGTGATAACCGGGTTGGGTGGCACTCGCAGCTCCGGCGGTGGAGGAGGTATGTGTTGCACCTGCGCCTGAATGACCTGTGGCGGAGAGCGGTGGTACTGTGGTGCCACAGTGGGCGCCTTCTGGGTGCCGCCTGGGCTGCTGAAAGCGGCCCCAAAGCGGACTCGGCTGGGAACATGCTGCGTTTGGCTCTGGCCCTGGCTACGTGCGGGGGCGCGCTCCGAGGATGTGTCCACCAACTCGCAGCCAACGTTCCGTGGCCAATCGCAGGTCTGCAGCTCGTGAGAGTACATCAGGCCGCCAGTGCAGCTTTCGAGCAGCGCTCCTCCGAAGACGCACACGTAGTATTGGGTGCAGTCCGAGGGGTGCGGGTAGTAGCCGAACTCCTCGGGGCAGTCGAAGCTAAGGCCATTGGAGCTTGTGGGCTTGACGTTGGTGCCAAAGCTACGGGAGCTGGTGACGCGAGAGGCTCGTTTGCTCTGTGCCTCTGTGGATCCTGTAAAGAAATAGAATTACTTTTTTATTGACTGTGGCATTAGACTGGTAGGTTGAACTTGGTGTGCAATTGAAGTTTAATGTTTTAGTGAGCCCCAACGTTTTTGTTGTTGAGATATCTTAGGCAGTATATGTATATTAGCTCTGCTAATACATTTAGTTTGACATGAGTATGGTTTTATTTTAGTGGTTTCCTTGAACATTGTTTCGATGCAGCTTGACCTTTTCGAACTCAGCTAAATGCCACTTGCTACAAAAACTAAGCTGAATCCATGTTAAGAATACATAGAATCTCAAGTTACAAACAAAGAACTGGTCGGATAGGAAAAAAATACTTCAATAATTTTAAATATATAAGATTACAGAAGTTTTTTATTGAAGATTAAGATAGGAGTGTTAATTAAGCTGCGTTTATTCGTCGAACTAAACAATTAGTCCCTCGATAATAACTCAATCGCTTATATTTTTGTGAGAAACTCCTGCATAAATTGGTATGCGTATGCTTAAACAAAAATGTTATCTCAACGAGGGAATAAGTTAGTTTGTATCACTAAGGTAAAGTTTTAATACTGAGCGAATCATTTAGAGTTTATTCCCCCAAAATTATTTCGTTCGACACCGGAATTTTAATTGAGAAACGCAAGCCCATGAGCCTGAAAAAGAAGGGTACATTTGATTGTATAATACTCGAAACGTAAGGTCGTTATTGCAATCTGCATCGCCAGCATCTGAAGCCAAAAGCCTTAAGACCCAAACCTTTGGTTGCTCGCAAAGCGATATACGCTGAATCAGCCATCAAATGGTGACAATTTGTTGGCAAAAAAGTTTTAATTATAAAAACGTGCCGTTATAAGCTCGGTTTATGTTTCAGAAAGGTAACTGCACCCAAATAAGAGCTTACCTCAAAGCGCGCTGCTCAACACAGGATGAATTTGGCTCCGTCGTCGGGGAAGTTAGCAGCTAAACGAACTCCCATTTACAGTGAACAAAGGCCAAATAAAAATTCAACTGATTACGTCGAACAATTGGCTTAATTTGAATTCAATTCTTCACAATCAAAATTATTGCATCTTAAATGCTGCACAAAAATAACCAAGTAAGGTTGTCCCAAGGCAACAGTTCGACCGATTACTTTAATTTTGTCAAGAGCTATGTATTGGTTTTTTTTGGCGTTACCCAATAAATTATACAGCCTTAGCCGTAAGACAGACTAGCCTAAAATATTTATTTGTTTGCTCCTAAAAATCACAATGAACAAAACAGTCTTGCAGAATGGGAGCACGAAAACTGGACTTCTAGGCGTCCATAACTTGAGTATCCCGATTTGAAAGTGGCATACCTCTATGAGTTTGTTGATAAATTCTCTTTTTTTTAAATTTTTTTATTTTAAACGACAGTACACTTTTTACAAACATTTATTTTAAATAATATTAAGCCAAGACCGTTATGCCGCACCTTTAGGCTCGAGAGAGACAATAAGGGTAACGAACAACTCAAAGTTGATAAACCCGCTATTCCACAACGCTATACATTCACTTTAACAATAATCCAGTGAGTATAAACAACTTAAAAGAAACGGTCGTTTGGGCTTAGGAATTATTAAAATTGGCCGTAGATGATTTGCTAATTCGTAGGGCATGTTCAATTATCTCCCACCGAGACTCAAGCTGGCGAAATAACGGAGAAAGGAGCTGGATTTTTAAATCCATCGCCAATTCACTGCCGTGGAGCTATCCCAGATGGAATGGCTCGTTACATGCAGAATATTAAGATCCCTCCAATAGTGTCAAGGCTCCATAGGGTATCTAGATCACATGGAACGGAGATGGCACGCTCCAAAAATTGTGCAATTAACGCGCAAAAACTCCGAGATTCGGAGCCTCCGTCGGTAGAGCCCCATTGCGAATATTCGCGACAGTGTGCTGCATTGACCGAGTCTGAGTGACTGATATACGGCGGAGGCGCACAATGAAAGCCAATCACGTGCCAATGGCAATTGACCATGCAAGAGCCTAGACCTGCCATCGGCATGGATGACATTTGTATTAGGCAGCCCACACTTGGCAGCCCGTCGCTGATTGTTTGCTGTTGTGTTGGCCTGGTCGTTGCTTGTTATTGCGTTTGTGTAGCTCCCGCTGCCGCTGACAGTGCTATGCAATCGGGCTTTCTGCCCCACTAAACAATACGGCTATGTACGCTCTGACGTTACAAGCGCAGCTAACGCTAAGGCTGGTGCCGGAGCTAAAGCTGAAGTTAAAATCGACGCTTAGACCGAGGCTTGACTTGGCTTTACTGCTCTGTTGTTATGCAACGCGCAGTAATTCGACCATAAGCCTGATTGGTTTTGTTTGGCGCTTGTCGTTAGCTTTGGTTTGTTTTTCACCACTCGACTTGTTGGTCTACGATCGTGCAAATAATTCGACTTTGTTTGAAGGCAAAGAATACACTTGTGGCTTGGTATCCATGCCCCGAGGTAAAGCAGAATCTCCGCTCGTCTTGGCCGATGACACTTTGCCCCTAACGGTACCGCAAGCGATAATTCCGATCCTCCGTGCAGCTTGGCCTTTTCGTGTGGTGTGCTCAAAGTGCACTCGACCAACAACTTCTCAGCCATAAAACGCTGTTTGATGAGCAACTTGACTTTCATGTCAGTCGGAAGCGGCAATAAAACATGGCACTCACGGCACTTTGCCAAACTGCCGGCTGCGGTAAGCATTGTAAATAAATAAGCATCTGGCTTGGACAAATCGCTGAAGATCAGCGTGAGGCATTTTATTATCTATTTATTTGACTGCTGCGGATTAATAGATGCTGGAAATTTAAAATCAATAAAAATGTCGTATCTCTAGCTTTGAATATTTATAGGTAAAGCCGCGTGAGTTGATATTAGGCCTTAGTAAACGAGATCAAGCCCAGAAAAAACCATGTGTCACACGGTTGTTTGCATTGATTAAGCGTTTCCGCGCGCAAGGCGTTAATTTATGTAAAGCACCATTTGTTTAATGTCTCACTGAGCGGTTGCCCCTAGTTTTAACGATGGGTGATGATACCCAGGGTGCGTCTGCGGTGTGTCACTGCTGCTTGGCCCAAAAGCAGTTAAGCCGTAACTTGGCTTTGGCCAGGCGGCATTTCAACACTGCCTCTGACTTATTTGAAGCCATAAAATTGGCAACCGCCAATAGCATGGCCAAATTTAGACAAATGGCGCGAACCATTGCACTAATTGCCACCTCGTTTGGCAGCGTCGGATGCAGCCTCGAGATCTGATTTATGTCGACCGTAATGAGCTATTTGACCACATTTTAGGGGGTAAAAAGGGGTTGTTGGGACAAGCATAATGGGGTCTTTAAATTAATCGGTTTAGTAAGGTTACGTAACTTTACATGAAAGTCTCCTTCTAATAGATTTGGAAAACCCCGAGAGAGTACCTTTCTTTTTCACTTGCACTGGCGTGGTGCTGGCTTATTTAATTATTTTAAACCAGCATGAAAGTTGTCTAATTCGAAAACTGTCTTCTTTTATGCACAATAATAAAGTCGCTGCCTGACTGCCTCAATTGATAGCTCAATTTCTTTTTCGCGTGTTTCGCGTTTGAACTTTTAATTAAAAGTAGCTGGCCAACAGAGAGCACCCGACAAGTTTGTTGCCTAAGTCTTTCGTTTCGCTGGGTGCGGTCCGCAATTAAACGCACGCTCAGCACACCCGCAAGACGGAAATATAAATCATTGACTGCCTGGCGGACTAGTGGGCTTTCATTTGTTTTCATTTTCAATCGACTGCACAAATCAATGGAAGGGGCGTAGCACTAAGCAACGATGGCAAAGGCGACCGACCCAATTGTTTGTTGCATTCCGACATTTCTCCCATTACGAAACTTAGCCCAGCTGACCACAAATGCAAACATTCGCCTTGCATGCATACGCACAGGAAGCCATCTGCACACAGCAGTAGAGGAATCACTATCGATTTCAGTACAGCTTTTTCTTTCTAATGGAAAAGTCTCTGCTGCACTTCCTGCCAGCAGACTGTGGGGATCCATGGATAACACAAAAATGTACACATGAATCGATTTACCGAGTTGGTTTTACCCCTGGGCACCTTGCTTCGTTCATTTTGGAAAAAAATAAATACAATAAATAATTATAATCAGGCGTTATGTTGCGAACGATCAAGGCCCTATTAAGCTCTTTTACTCTTGTGCCGCAGAACTTACAGACCTTAAAACCAAATAAACTATTGGCATTATCGGTGAAAAATCTATAAATATTTTTGATGGTTCTGCTGGTAATATATCACACACACAAACCAACGCAAAAAGACAAGGAAGCTCAAGTTTTAAATGGCCTAATATTTTAATGCTTCAGGGTGAAACCATCGCTCATAGAGCAGACCGCATCTTTCCTTACAATCCGAATTAACCAATTTCTATTTCAGCGTTCAGCAGCATGACAGATTTAGGGGACTTGGGTAGTCAGAGATAGCATGAAATAAAAATGAAATAATCGCCATGAGCAGCAGTCGGCAGCAGTATACCTATTTTCGAGAGTACCACAAAACAGGAAATATGCAGCACTTACTTTTGCCCCATGCCTCTTGCCCGGTTGCTTTCCTTTTCGTAGCTGTGGGCCACATTCAAATACTAAGTGGAGCTCCGGCCTGAAGCGCTTTTCGGCTATTATGCAACTAGCCTATCGACTGGCTCTATGCTGCCACACATACTCGCACAATCGACAATGTACTTTCGATTTCAACTCTACAGTGGCTCGTTTTTCCTCCCAACAATTTTTTGGGGGAGAATGCTCCAATTTGCTGGCCAAGCAGGAGGCTTTGTCGGCGGAGCTACATACTTCAAGCCCAGCTGACTTTCTTAGCTGCGAAGTCTACGGAGTGGTTCGGTAGTAAGGGGTTTCTGTGTTAACTGCCTTGGCCAGTTCGATTTAATGATTACGTTCATGTGGTGGAGGCCGGCACTGTGTGCTTAGCTTGAACTCCTTGATCTGC